CACCTGTGAGGAGAGAGGAATTGTGAGCAGTCAGCCTTTTGTAGTTTTGGACTACTTACAGGTTTTCATATTGAGAAGTCTAGGCTTGCTAAATTTAGTTCGTCTTTGAGCCATTCATGTCTTATTCCTTCCATCTCCATGATACTTTCTAGTGTCAGTATTCATTCTAACTCCAGTTCGTTAGTGCCTATCCTGATTGATATGTTTTTTGTTCTGTTTTGTTTTGAAAGAGATTTTTGCTGTACAGCACATGTGCTTGCCAGAGAGATGGAAAGCAAGAAATCATCCCCCAGGGGCATGGCCATGCTGAAGTCCCTTCTCTATTCTCCTCTTGGGACTTTGGGTGTGTGCACCTGCCCAGCATGAGTTTAGAACTGCTGGGACCACACTCGAACTGCAGTTGAAGTTGACTCCGTGGGAGTCCAGTGATGTGACATAACCACTATGCCATTTGCTGATCCCTGATTGGTACATTTTTAAAGAAATAGTACACTCTAACTTTGGTCTCATCCGCACAATGTAATACTGAATCTTCCTCCTTGTCTTTGATTTCTGGTTGTGGTAAAGGCTGGTGTTGGCCTTTTTCATTGGCAGTGTTGTTTGACTTCTTACTTACTGGTTCAGGACTCCGAGAAAGCAAAAGGGGAAGCCTCCAAATCTCTTAAGGATTAGGCTCAGAACTATAATAGCCATTACTTCCACAACCTCCTGTTGGTTGAAGCTTGATACAAGTCAACAAAAATAGCCAGTTGGGGGGTGGGGGGGAGGAGGGAATAAACTCCACCTCTTGAATGGAGGAATGGCATAAATGAACAAGGTTGGTAGGAAATTGGTTGAGGCCACCTTTGGAGAAAATCTAACAGCTCTTTGAGCCGAAGTGTTAATTAACCCTCCATCCCTTTAAACTTAGTCTTTAATCTACTGTTTTAATTCTCGGACACTTCCTAGTTTAACAAACATTACCCAATGTAAAATAAAACATTCTTAGAGATACCAAAGTTACTAATCATGAAGGATAGATTACTAATTCTGGTAGCATTCATTGACACCTTGCCTGAAGAACTTTGATAACCTAAATAAGTTTTATGGAGTAGCTTTAATTTTAATCTGAAACAACTGATTTACTCTTTAAGTAAGGGTGCATGTTTATGGCCTTGATTTCTGCATCCATGGTGGAGTGGCTCATTGACAGTGAAGAACGTAATTCCTCAGTGTTACTCTTAGTTTCACTTTTTTTCTGCGTGACCACTTACCACAGACTTAGAGACTTGCTCCACATTGAGACCTTGTCCATTACTTTATCAATGCCTAGCACAGTGGCAAATCTGAAGAATGAGTGAATATAAAAATGTGTTGACATTAAAATATCAACCTGGGTGGCTTCCATGGAGGATTCATAGCATTTGCTGACAATTCTTTATTTAAGAGACCTAGAGAACAGTCCCAGTTGTCTTGAATTGTATATGGAGTCCTCATTAAACAACCCTGTGTTTTTCTCCTGTATAATTAGTATTTGTGAATTCTGTTTAATCACATTGTGCTTTTTTTTTTTTCAGTTAGATGTTATACCTAATTTGGTTTTAACCTTTTGCCTAGCAAATCAGAAATAAAACATGCCCTTCCCCATGAAAAGTAATTACATAGAGATTTCTGAATTTTGTACATAGCATCTTTCAATATTATACTTCTTAAAGTATGTTTTTAGGTTTTTGCCATGGAGTGCAGGTGTTTGCCAGAGAGACAGTAAGAAGAAAAGTGAAAAATCACCCCCTGGGGCTATGGCCATGCTACAGTCCCTTCTCCAGTCTCCTCCTGGGATTCTGGGCATATATGCTCATGCACCAAGTGTGAGTCTCAAGCCACCAGGTCTTGGACTGGAACTGTAGTGAGCCATGTGGGAGTCCAGCTCCCTAACCATCACACCACCAGCTGGCTTCTATAGTATTGTAATAGATGGAATTGTGCTTTTACTTTATCTCTACAGCTAGATTATGAGGTACTAAATACTGTGTTTCTAGCTTCTAGCATGGTGTCTGGTGTATAGTGATAATGGCAAGTAAACATTTAACTGCTTACTCTAAATGCTTTACCTATAATTTTCTCTCAACAGTCTTGAGAAGTGGGAGTTATAACCCCTACCTTACAGAAGGGAAAACAACCAAATCTTTGAACTTTATGAAGGTCCACAGTGTGTAAAGTGCCACAATTGAAACCTAGACTCACCCCGAAGCCACTGTGCATATATTACCTCCCCTTGTTAGATTAATAATATTTTTTTAAATATTTATTTTTATTTTTTCTTTTTTTCTTTTATTTTTCTTTTTTAATTTGACCAGAGAAAAAGAGGGAAAGTGAGGAAGAAGCCGTCAGGTCCAGGACTTGAACCATGGTCTGCCATGTGGTTGCCTTAGCCACCACGCCACCTGCTGGTCCTGAATAATACTTTATATATATATATAAAAGTTGAAAAAGCCTGGTCATTTGTTCCTACAGTGGAAAATCCACATACTGTTGATACTTTAAGTAGATTTGTCTTCTGTTATTTGAAGCAGATTCCTAAAGAGCAACCATATAGGTGGTTAAGAGCAGTGTTGAAACATTAGTTGCACCAAAGAGAATGTTGAGTACATACATACATATGGGTGTGATATAGTAGAGTTTACTATCCTAACCAAAAAGCTGTCCTGACTTCAGGCTAATATCATCATATGTAAGTTAATAATCACAGAAAACAGTATTTCAGCTTGACTTGTCTAACTTCTGACCCACTTGTAAAGATTTATGTTTTTCTATGAGTCAGGGAGAGAGAGAAAGAAAGAACCCTGAACAAGGTCTTGGTTTCACAATCTACCTCCAGCCTTAGCCAATCCTGAATCAGGGTTGTGTGTGGAGTACTGAAAGAGGTCTCTACATGCAGACCCCGAACCTTTCCATGTGGGTCAGCCTTAAAGAATATTATTTTACCACCACCGTACCAGCATTTCCAATCTCTCCAGCCCTTTTTTATAATATAATGTAACTTGGCCCTACTGCCACTTCGTGGATATCTGGAGTGGTAAGGTGTAGTAGGAGGTTGGGTTAAAACTTTACCCACATGCCATTTGAACATAATGGGTGAAGACACAGAGTTAGAGTTTTTATTTAAAAGCACATTTTAAACTATTTTACATTGCGTAAGTGCTCTGTAATGAGATTACTGGCTAACTGCCTTCTAGAACAGAAGCCAAGAATTAGATGCCCCTTTTCTTTGTAAGAATTTATATATTTGGCTTCCACTTATTTGAAATTTGACTTCATGTTGATTACTAGAGTATACCTATACTTAGCAGGAGGGAGTTGGGGGTGGTGAGAGTACGTTTTTGTTTGTTTTAAAATTTGCTATAGTGTGCATGTGTTTACCATAGACAGAGAGAGGGAGGGAGAGAGAAAGTGAGAAAGCATCCCCTGATGGAGATGGCCATGCCATATCCCTTCTCTTTCATTGTTTTTTTTTCTCTTGGGATTTTGGGCGCGCGCACACACACCCACACACACACACACACACACACACGAACCCATTTATTTTCCTAGCCACCAGGTCCAGGACTCAACCATGCATTTGGCCCTGTGGGATCTAGCTACCTTAACTACAAGACCACTGGCTGGCCTGAGAGTGAATATTTTTCCAAACATTTTTTAATTCTACTAGAATTACTATCCTCCCCTTAACTGAAAAGGGGAAAGAAAAAACAAAACTAGTTTAGTGAGCCTTCTTACCTCACAATAAAGTGATCTCATTTTTTTAAATTGTCAGAGGGTACATGCACTTGCCAGAGTGAGGGAGGAAGCACCCCCCCAGTACTGCACGGGCATACCATAATCCCATCTTTATTTCTTTATCCTGTCAGGATTTGTGTATTTGGCCATATGGGATCCAGTTCCCTTAACCACTGTACGATGGGGCCTGCCCTAGGGTAAATTAATAACATGTTAAGATTTATAAGTTAGTTTATAAGTTGTTATAGGTTGGGTTTTGTGTTTTTTTGTTTTTTTTTGTTTTTTTTTTTTGTTTTTGCTGTAGGGCATGTATACTTGGGGTGGGGGGCAGTGAGGAAGCAAGCCTCCAGGTCTGGAACTTGGACCTTGATCATCAGCCATGTGAGAGTCCAGTGCCTTAACCACCACGCCACTTGCTGGCCCCAGTTGTCACAAGTTTAAGTAAAATTACAGTACATTTAATTTTTTAAAAGAATTATTTTAATTTTATTCATTCATTCATCTGTTTTATTTTGACCAGGAAGAGAGGGAGGGAAAGTGAGAAAGCAAGCCACCAGGTCTGGGGCTCGAACCATAGTCAGCCCTGTGGTAGTATCCAGCACCTTAACCATCTGTTGTCTATGGTGATCTGTAAACTTGAGTCTTTATTAGCTAAAAATCAGTTTGGGATTAAAGGTTTGCTCTTCAAATTCTTATTTCTCACACTCTTGATTAGATTCTTAATTTAGTACTGAAATAACTTACTTTGAACAGATCTGAGTCTTACTTAAATTGTGTTCTAATAAATGAAGTTAATGATGTTCTGATTCCTCTGGCATGGATTCTGTGGTGTAGTGCACATTATGTTCACATAATATTGCTGTTAGAGTCACCCAAGATTCATCTATTAGGAGACTTCAGGAAGTTCATGGAAAAGTGGAATTTTTTTTTTTTTAAATTGCTATAGCACACTTACGGGGGTTGCTATAGCACACTTACGGGGGGGGTGGGAGGGAGTGAGAGAACCATTGTCAGGGACTGGTATTCTATGCTCCTAAATCGTGAGCTGAGCACTAACTTTAAAAATTTTAATATTGCTGCCCAAAACATTCTTCTTTTAAACCACAAATTTATGAGCCTGTTACATTTCCAATTGTATCATTGGCAATGTTGTGAATTAAAGTTTTACTACTTAGACTGTAGTACATTCTTGAGACATGCACATTCTTTCAGTTTTGTAAGTGCCTTTTATCTTTTTTCCCTAGTCTCTTTTGGAAAAGTTCTTGATCCCCAATGCTTCACAAGCAGAGAGTAAAGTTTTCTACTTGAAAATGAAAGGTGACTACTACCGTTACTTGGCTGAGGTTGCTGCTGGTGATGATAAAAAAGGTACACTGTTTTCAAACCTATTGGTTGAACCTGTATAAAAATAATATGGAAGTTGTCTTTTTGAAGTTTAAACATTTGGGAGGGGAGTCATTTTTTAATTGCTAAGAGCACTGGATAAGGAGCAATAATACTCATTTTTTCAGTCCTGAGAACATATCTACTGCTTAATGTTAGTATTCTAAAATATGTGCTTTCTGAAAAGCCACTTTTGTGTACAGGGATGTTTTCTTAAAATTTTAAGAAACAGGTCACAGGAAAACTGAGGCATATCACAAACTCATCATTTTATTTTATTTATTTATTATTATTCAGTTTGGCCAGAGAAAGAAAGAGGGAGAGTGAGGAAGCAAGCTGCCAGGTCCAGAACTTGAACCGTGGTAAGCTAGTGGGAATCTGGCGCCTTAACCATATGCCACCTGCTGGCCCACAAAACTAATTATTTTAAATTAAAAGTGGGTTTGTTTTGTTTCGTTTTAAGAATTACTTAACTTTATTATAGATTGACCAGAGAGGGACAGAAAGAGAAAGAAAGAAAATGAGAAAGCAGGCTGCCAGTTCCAGGACTCAACCCATGTCTAGCGGCCTTAACTACCACACCACCTGCCAGCCCCAATGATGAGATTTTTTTTATCTTGACTAATGGTTAATGTGTTCTAGTAGAAGACTTTTTAAATTATTTTAAAACATCAAGGGTCTTTTTTCAATTAAGGTTAATATTATAGAGGAGGAATATTAAAGATTTGGTTTTGAGGGGTGAGAATGAAATGCAAACTTGATGACTACATTTTGGTGTGTTTTATTATCTATCCAGGGATTGTGGATCAGTCACAACAAGCATACCAAGAAGCTTTTGAAATCAGCAAAAAGGAAATGCAGCCCACACATCCTATCAGATTGGGTCTGGCCCTGAACTTCTCTGTGTTCTATTACGAGATTCTGAACTCGCCAGAGAAAGCCTGCTCTCTTGCAAAGACAGTATGTATTTTAACCATTATGTGGAAATTTGACTATCTTTATTATTTGAGTACTGAAATGTACTTTTTTTAAAATCATAGGCTTTTGATGAAGCCATTGCTGAACTTGATACATTAAGTGAAGAGTCATACAAAGACAGCACGCTAATAATGCAGTTACTGAGAGACAATTTGACAGTAAGTACACACAGCAGTGTTAGTGGTTGATATGGTTGGAGAGATGTTTTTATTATAATATTTCTGGACTTTATTAAATATAATACCCTTTCTTGAAAAAGACTATAGCATCTGAAATAATAAACCAAGGAATAAAAATATACATTCATTAGTTGCATATCTATTGTTGCCATAAATTTTCAAAATTGTTCTGTGATTCTTAGTTTTAGACTTCTACCATGTCTCTTATTTTAAGATGACTTATTTATGGAAGGTCATGGTTGTCCTTGGCATGTTTCAGATTTCAAAAGAACCACAATGCCATTATCATACCCAAAAAGTCAGCAGTAGTTCTCTAATAATACTAAATAGCTAAATAATACTTGAATTCCGTTGTTTTTTTGATTAAAAGAAAAAATTTGTTACTTGACGTGGGAGCCAAATAAAGCCCACATATTATAGTTGGTTTATATGTCTCCTTAGCATTTTCTATTCTTCAGATAAATATTAAATCTGAAGTTCTAAGGTTTAGGTGAAAAAATTATCAGGCACCTTGCTATGTATCAGGAATTACAGATTACAGTCTAATGTTACTGCTTTTCCTAGTTTGAGGGCCAATTTCTCTTAGGGACTGTGTTATCATTTTACACAATTTACTTCTGTCTTTATTCAGATCCACTGCCAGTTTTATATAAGCCAGTTCAGCATTCTAGCCTTGAATATTTTCTGTAGAGAGCATTGTTTCTTTTTTCATTTGCTAGAGGGCAGTTGAGCTTGCCTGAGAGACAGAAGGTGTGGGAGGGTGGAGACTGAGAAAGCCTCCCCGCCCCCATGGTCATGCTTCAATCCCTTCTCTGTTTCTCTTTTTGGCATTTCAGACATGCATGTGCCTGGCATGTTTTTCAAGCCACTGGGTCTAGGACTTGAATTACATAATCAGCCCTGTTAGATTCAGCTGCCTTAACCACCTTGCCTCCAGCTGGCCTGATGAAAAGAGTTTTGGGAAAAAAAAAGGGGGGGGGGGTTTGAACAGTGTTGTGTACATATTCATTATTATTATTACCATTAAACTCCTAAAATTATTTTAGTCCAGTTGGGCACTATCTGCAAACTTGTGAGTTTTAAAGAATGAAGTAAACTTTATATCAAATGAAATAAGCACTTCAGTTAACTAACTTTAATATCAGGGGTGTTTGGGCTAACCCATGGCCTGGTGATCTGGATTCCACATGACCAACTGCACAGTTTGAGTCTCAGACCACCCAGTGGCTTGTAAAACACTCAAGTGTATGTCCATTAGTGTCCAGAATCCCAAAGGGAGAGAGATGGAGAAGAGATTGTGGCATGTCCTCCTCTCCCCCTCCCCTTACTCCCCTTCCCTATCAGCGCACTGGCCGTCTGACTTTTTTTTTTTTAATTAAATTTACTTTTTTTCTGGTTTGCAATGATGACGTTTTTAAAGGTAGAACTTGAGACTTTATTGTGTTGGGTCTCTACCTCATATATTTTTCCTTTTTTCTTTTTAAATCAGTTGTGGACATCGGATACCCAAGGAGATGAAGCTGAAGCAGGAGAAGGAGGGGAAAATTAACCGGCCTTCCAATTTTTGTCTGCCTCATTCTAAAATTTACACAGTAGACCATTTGTCATCCATGCTGTCCCACAAATAGTTTTTTGTTTACGATTTATGACAGGTTTATGTTACTTCTATTTGAATTTCTATATTTCCCATGTGGTTTTTATGTTTAATATTAGGGGAGTAGAGCCAGTTAACATTTAGGGCGTTATCTGTTTTCATCTTGAGGTGGCCAATATGGGGATGTGGAATTTTATACAAGTTATAAATGTTTGGCGTAGTACTTTTGGTACATTGTGGCTTCACAAGGGCCAGTGTTAAAACTGCTTCCATGTCTAAGCAAAGAAAACTGCCTACATATTGGTTTGTCCTGGTGGGGAATAAAAGGGATAATTGGTTCCGGTCACAGGCGTAATTATTGTGGGTACTTTAAGGTTTGGGAGCACTTAGAAGGCTGTGATAGAAACAGACATCCCGTGGATACTGCATGCTGAGCCATGTGTATCTGTGGAATTCTCAATGTCAATGTGCACACCTTTAACTACAGCTGAGAAGTGTTCTTTTAGACAAAGTTGTGACCCAATTTACTCTGGATAAGTGCAGAAACGGTTCACATTCCATTATTTGTAAAGTTACCTGCTGTTTGCTTTCATTATTTTTGCTACACTCATTTTATTTGTATTTAAATGTTTTAGGCAACCTAAGAACAAATGTAAAAGTAAAGATGCAGTAAAAATGAATTGCTTGATATCCATTATTTCATGTATATCAAGCACAGCAGTAAAACAACCCATGTATTTAACCGACAGTAAAACAACCCATGTATTTCACTTTTTTTAGTTTGATACTTGCCTAACATGCATGTGCTGTAAAAATAGTTCACAGGGAAATAACTTGAGTTGACGGCTAGCTTTGTTTAATGTCTTATGAAATTTTCATGAACAATCCAAGCATAATTGTTAAGAACACGTGTATTAAGTTCATGTAAGTGGAATAAAAGTTTTATGAATGAAAAAAAAAGACCGACAAATAGTACATGTGCTCATGTATTTACAATGATATCCTCTTGATAAATTGACCCCTTTATTATTATATGATCTTTGTATAAAACTTCTCTAAAAGAAATTGTACATTTTTGGAAATTTATTCCTTATTCCCTCTTGGCAGCTAATGGGCTTTTATCAAGTTTAAATACAAAGTTTATCATAACAACAATACTACTAATATAACTACTGTTCCCAACCATGTCTCATATTCCCCTCTCTCTCCCTCCTCCCCTCAAAAATACGGAATTGCTAGTTTTTCTGGGGGAGGGGAAGATTGATTGGAAAAAATAATGTGTTGTTCCATTTAAAATTTTGGTATATGGCATTTTCTAACTTAGGAAGCCACAATGTTCTTGGCCCATCATGACACTGGGTAGCATTAACTGTAAGTTTTGTGCTTCCAAATCACTTTTGTTTTTAAGGATTTCTTGATATTCTTATAGCCTGCCTTCAATTTTGATCCTTTATTCTTCCTATTTGTCAGGTGCACAAGATTACCTTCCCTTTTTAGCCTTCTGTCTTGTCACCAACCATTCCTACTTGGTGGCCGTGTACTTGGAAAAAGGCCGCATGAATTTTCTGGCTCCACTCAATGTCTAAGATAACCCTGCTTCCTTTGCTTGCATCCCACAAACTATTTCCCTCATCCTATTTACTGCAGCAAATCTCTCCTTAGTTGATGAGATTGTGTTTATCTCCCTGTAAGCCCTACCTATCCTGAATGGTCTGTCATTGTCTGCCTTTAAAATCCTTCCTCTTCCCGTATTCTCTAAATAATGATGGGGCTAAGTTATACCCAAAGCTCACCCTACAGAATATTTCCTCAGTACTTTGCAGAAAACACCAAACAAAAATTGCCATTTTAAAAGAGGTGTATTTTTTTTTCTTTTAGAATGTAAGCTCCTCAAGAGCAGGGACAATGTTTTCTGTATGTTCTATTGTGCCTAGTACACTGTAAATGCTCAATAAATATTGATGATGGGAGGCAGTGAGTCTTGATGATAAGGGTGAGAAACTGAAATCCCCAACACTGTTTTTTTTCTTGTTTTATTATGACCTCAGACTAAATTGGGAAATAACAGCCCTTTTGAACAATTGTCCCAAATATTACATTAAAATAAAAGTGCAATGGAGACCTTGGGATGTTTATTTCCAGGAGGAAAAAGAAATCTCTGAAGCATTTGGGACAATCATCTTCACTTACAGTTCTTTCACCTTGCCTATTGATTGGTCCTGACCCCTCGGCCCAAGGAGGTAAGGTAACCCTTTCATGGCTAAGAAAAATTAAGCAAACTAGACAGAGGGATGGGCTATCTTATAAGTGAAGTTATAAATCTGAAACTTGTCACATCTGCCTAGTAGCTATTAATGTGCATCAGTCATCTGCCAAACTAGTTGATTCTGGTATTGTGATAGTATTTCATTAGTATTAGCTATTTAATGTCTTCTATATGATCGTTCCCAGTAGATGAGGATTTTAAACCTGAGATTTTTTTTTTGCTTTGGAATTTGAATAATAAATTTATTTGTAAACTTAATTTTCTTAATTGTCCCAAATATAGGCTTCATGTCTTTTTGTTATTATAACATGATAGTGCTAGGAAATTGGAGATTTCAGTGGGTTGTTTTGTGTGTGAAGTATTGGAACTGTTTTTTTTTAAAAATGGCCACTTTAGAGCTGTCCTTTGGAGAGCCCAGCAGCCAGCAGCAGCAGCAGCAGCAGAGTGATCAGCAAAAAGGGTGTTCTTCCCTGCTGCTCTGGCCTGGGGCCCTGACTTTCCCAGTTAATGGCTGTGTTAATTCATGCTGTAAAGATTGGAGGATTGGAGATGGAGGGGTAGAATTAAAAGAACATGTCAAATGGCTTAATTGTAGGGGCTATTTTTTTGGTTTTTGGGGTTTTTGTTTTTTGTTTTTGTGTTTTTGTCTTCCCTACAGAATTGGTCACCAACCCTACAATGACCCAAAGCATATTTTATATAAAATACCAAAGCCAGTTTATAAGCTACAGTCTTAGATTTTTTGTGGCCAGACCTCAACTTGAGAGTGAAACAGTGCTTTGGGAACTGCCAGTGGTGAAATGTTAAATCTGAGACTGGATTTAGAACCAGGAATTTTGGAGACTTCCCAGCAATGGCAACATTATCATCTTAATTTGGGTGCAAGTGCATCACAGTCACTGCCTGAACATCCACGGTATACTGAAAGGTCAGGACGTGAGTTGTTTTATTGTGCTATATGCCAGATAGGGAATTACGTTAGTAATTAATTAGTAGTGAATTGGAAATATACATTAAAGTGATGGCTGCAACTGGGCACTTGGGAAATAGACTTGATTCCTTTTTTAAATGTGAAGCTACATTAATATGTTTATCTTTTAATATGACCTATAATAGTCACAGTCACGGTTAATTCTAGCTCCTTTTAGCAGTTGAGAGACCTCGGGTTTGGCAGGTTGGTATGGTGGTTAGAAGTACTGAACTCCCACATGGCCCACCGGGATTCAAGTCCCAGACCTGGCGGCTTCCTTTCTCACTTCCTCTCTCTCACTTGTCCCTATCTGGTCAAAATAAATATATAACAAGATAAAGTTCAATAAAAATAATTCCAGGAAAAAAGCTGAGAGACCTAAAAATTGAACCTGGCGATTTAAAGTAGGTATCTAACCATCGTGCTGAACAAGCAAGCTTATGTGTCAGATGCAAGAACAGTGAAGAGTAAAACATTAAGCATGTTAACCTTAGGTGATGCCAGAGACCCAAATATTTTATCATATTTAAGTCCACTCCCTGAAATTTCTGAAATATCAAACACTAGTCAGTATTAAAATCCTGTCTGGGGTTGGCTGGTGGTGTGGTTGGGCAATGCTGAACTCCCACGTGGCAGACTGCTGTTTGAGTACCAGGCCTGGCAGCTTGCTTTCCCTCTGTCTCCCAGAGACCCAAATATTTTATCATATTTAAGTCCACTCCCTGAAATTTCTGAAATATCAAACACTAGTCAGTATTAAAATCCTGTCTGGGGTTGGCTGGTGGTGTGGTTGGGCAATGCTGAACTCCCACGTGTTTGAGTACCAGGCCTGGCAGCTTGCTTTTTCTCTGTCTCTAGTCAAAATAAGTATTTAAACCCTATCAATGCTTAAGTAGGTGCTTAGATTTTCTAATGGATGTTGGTTTGGGCCAATTGCTATTATGAATGTTTAAAAAGGCTCTTAATGGAGAGATTCATGTTTGAGTCAAGACAAAGAATGAATGGGATCCAGATGAAGGTTACATGTACAAAGACATGAATAGGAGAGGAACCTGAAGAAATTTAATGCACTCATGAGTTGGCACGCTCTGAGACTAGAAGTAGGCTATATTCTGCTTTTTTTTTTCCTTCATGGTAGTGCAAGTGCACATAAGGGTGAAAGAAGCCACCTCTAGTCCACCAGACCCTCAGATCTTGGACACTTGGAATTGTCCCCAGCGTATTTCAGACTGAGTAGGCTGGGGATTGGAACTGATCACTACATGGGATCCAGCATTTTCTTGAGCAGTGAATGCATTACCTCAGTGCCAGCCTCAACCCTAGTTTTTCATTTTTAAATGTTTTAGAATCACCTAAGGGGAGCTTATAGATGTATTTTCAGCACCCAGCTTCAGGGATCCCAATTTTTTAGGTTGGAGCCCAGGAATGCACATCTTTTAAGCAAAAATTCAGTAGGTATTGATGATGTGCAGTGTCCACATGGCTTAAATTTGGAGGAGTACAAATTGCATTTGGAAAATATGGGTGTCCAAGATGTCCTTTGAAGCCAAAAGCTATTTCTAAAACTGGAAAGAATTAGTATGCAAACCCCTAGTGTGTGCATCTGCTTTAATTTTATTTCCACAAGGAGATTAAAGATACCTGTCAAAACAGACTTTTCACATTAATAAACCCTGTATAGGAGCAGATGCCATTAGAATTTATAGTCTGTTGAGAGGGAAAAACCACAATGTTGTGAAAATTTTTTATACCTCATACCATGCACAAAAGTCAACTCCAGGTGAATTTAAGGGCTTAAAATATTCCTAAGATGCAGGTGAAAACTTACTGATTTAAATTGTAGTAGTTCTTTTAAAATGGACACAGAACTAACTAGAAAAGGGAATACACAAACATATGCATATCGTAAGGTACTTAATCCTTTTAAGGAGGTTTTGCTGTATAGTATGAGGCTCACCAGAGAAGACATAAAGTGAGAAAGCACCCCCCACGGGGGATGGCCACATCACAATCCCTTCTCCATTATCCTGGGATCTTGGGTGCACCCGCATGTCCAGAACTCAAACAATGGTTGGCAGTGTGGAAGTCCAGTGATGTAACCACTATGCTATCTGCTGGACCCAAGGTTCTGAATCTTAAAACCTTGTAAATTACAACTACATAAACTAATACACCTGGGGGCCAGCAAGTGGCATGGTTAAGGCGCTGAACTCCCACAGGTTCAACTGCAGTTTGAGTCCAGGACCCATTGGCTTGAAAATCATGCTAGGCATATGTGCTTGCCAAAAATCCCGAAAAGAAAAGGGATTGTGGCATGGCCATTCTCCCTTTGGAGTGATTT